CTGTCATTATTACCTCCTTCCAGGCCGTTTCTCTGTCGTTGACATTTGTGACATATCTGGAGCTCCTGTCAGTCGGGGCTTTCAGACTGGAATAGAAAATAAAGAAATCATTTGGTTGTGGTTTCTGAAGGAAAATGACTGATTGACTTTTTGTCTGTGACAGAATTTGGCAGTAACTTAGGGTGAGGGGTTTTCTTTTTCAACTTTAAATGACCTTCAATTCTCTTATTTTTCAGTGAAACCGTGGCTTTTTTAAAAATTATTGTGGACAAACGTACCTACTGCTGAGCTGCTCCTTACTTTTAGTTACCTTCCTGACTTTGGGATGTTTTCATGATATTTTTCCCACATGTCAGTCAGCTAAATCCAGGTCAACGCTCAACATTTTTGCTCATTTCTGTCTACCTTTCACCAGCCTCTCTTCTCAGCACCTCTCAGTTTTTTTGGAATTATTTTTTAAAATTAATACATCTTTCAGGAATTGATACTAATAGAATAAAGACTAAAAATTTTAAGTTTAACGAACCGATAACGATCCTTAAACCATCACTTTTTTAAACTTAAAGGTGTATTTACGTTACTTGTACAATTTCCTCTCCTCTGCCAACAAATGACTTTTCTTCTTCTCTTTTTTTTTAAATCAGTTTCTGCTCCTGCTCTAAAGCTACCATGGTCCTCCTGTGGTCCTCCACACTGTTCCTGCTCACTCTGACCCTGCTCCCCCAGGGGAGGCTGGGATGCCCAGCTGGCTGCCGATGCTACAGCCTCACTGTGGAGTGTGGATCTGTTGGGATCAAAGAAATCCCACAGGGTGTCCCCTCTCTCACCAAGGTCAGTTAGCAGATCAAATGCCTCTGTGGCTGCCACTGCAGAGCCACCTCCGTGTGAATGGTGTTGTATCACTTTACTTCCTCTTTGATCCACTCTTATTACTGTTAAGTTTTGCTGTTTAATCAATTCGTCATGACCTTATTTGATGTAGGCCTCGGGGAGGATCTGTGCGGTGTCTGTGTAATTATTTATTCCTGCACAGAAAGTGACTCCTGCTCGCCCCTCTGATCATGTTGTTAAATGTCGCGTCGTCTTTTTTTTCTCCTGGGTTCGAGCTCCTCCACATTACTGCAGCTTATGAATATTAATGAAAAAGCATGTAGCACATAAATTTCTCCATTAACCTTGTTCAGCATGTCCACTTCTCTTTGATCGCGCTGTACCTCGCGGCACGCGTTCCGTTAGCGCCACTAAAGACAACGTCGATGAATGCACGTCACTAATCAAGCAGAGAGTCACAGAGAGCGCTCCTCGTTTGACTCCAATCACTCAAACCCTGCGGTGTTTGAAGATGTTTGCTGACAGACATTGTTGATGCACCAAAAAAAAAATGAACCAGGGAACAGGAAGCAGTTCACAGCCCAATCAAGGTGTCTAACTAGACCAGACCACATTGTTTGTACCGACTACATTAACATACATTAAAGCAGCAGCACGAGCCTCTGACTGCAGATGTAAACAGTTATGCAGCGGCTGATGTTTGTTACTCATGGTTCTTAAATATCCTGCCCTCCAGAAGAACACAACAACAGAATCCTTTCACTTTTACAGTAGAACGACACAGGCAAACATACTATAATAGACAGCGTTGCACCCCGTTCACCAAAAAGGCCTGTTTTTAACCCCGACTTTTGAAAACAAAAAGCCATGACATTAGTAAAAGTCAGCCAGTTAAATGCCTCAAAATGGCTCAAAATTAGAAGTGAAAAAGATAAAAGGTAGAAAACAATCCAAATCCTAATGAAACAATAGCTTCAATTTTACCTAGAAGACAATTGAACAAAGAAAGCTACAATTTTGTCATGATGAATGAAATAAATTGCTTTAGGAGAAAAGGCTGAAAATCAACACAATGGAAATGAAAGGTTCAGGTTTAACGTGCAAAAAGAAAAAAAATAGAGTTATTCATTTTAAACTGTAAAAGCCATGAAGCGAACAAAAGGAAAAATATGTAAGAAAATTTGGCAGAAAAAAAATGATAAAAACTTACTTCAGCGCAATCAAGAAAAAAATATAGCCACACAATTGCTGAATATAATTACAATTAAAAGTTATTTGGTAAACAAAAAATAAAAAAGTTAGCTATGATGTTAGCGGAAGAATATTTAACCAAGTAAAACATACAGGATGTGAGTTACCATGAATACTTACCCGTGTCACATCCATGATTTAATGGTCTAATCCCTCTCTCTGCAGACCATCTTCCTCCAGGACAACGCCATTGTGCAGATCCGTCTCCTGGACCTGACCCAACTTGGTAGCCTCCATTACCTCTACCTCCAGAACAACAGCATCTCCGCGCTGGAGCCGGGGGCTTTCCTCAGTCAGGGGCAGCTTCTTGAGCTCGCTCTCAATGGAAATCTCATCCACCTCGTCACCGCAGACATGTTCCGGGGTCTGGAGCACCTCCGAATCCTCTACCTGGCCGGAAACCAGATCACCAGAGTGCAGGACCACACCTTCAGGGGGCTGCAGGTCAGTCAAAGAGAGACTGAATGAATAAATGCATATTTTTTGACACTTGTTATTCCTTTTTTTTTAGTCAAAAATCCTTTCTCTGAAGTAGAAAAAGCTCAATTTCTGTCGGTAAAGTCTCGGCCGCTGCCACATAAGTCGAGTTTTTCTACTGAATTACACAGGAAGACATCTGCGGCTGTAAATCCAGCACCGTATGACTGACTGATCCAGAGAGCAGGGTTTCTGCAGGGGGAGTCATAACACAGTAATGGATGACCAGCAGTATATGTTTAGAACATGGCCCGCGGCCCTCGTGACCACCTGTGAGGTGCACAGCAGTCAGAGGGAGTATAAATAGGTAATAAAAATCGAATCGGATATAAATCTCCGACTTGACATCTGCGTCTACGCTGCAGCTTATTTCCTTCAATCTTCTTTTGTGCTGCAGGAACAATAGGTTGCGCTCTAACAAAAAACAGCATTGTGTTTTTTTATGGTTATCTTTCCTTTTTTGTGCATAGGCCAAATGTGGCTTTGAAAGCACTGTGTATTTAATAAAAGATAACTTTTTGCGTGAAGCATTTCTGCAAAGAAGACACGAGAAAAAAAGGAATAATTCTGTTGAATAAATAAAAGAATAAAATGACTCAACTGCAGCGAGATTCTCCCTCCGATACTCAAAATAGGTCAGTTTCTTTCTCTAACTCTTCTCTGAAATAAAGTGAAGCTAAATTTCAGCAGCCTTTATCCTTGAAGGACCTTCTTCAACTCCTGCTCACCGCAATGACATTTAGAGCCGTGATCCCAGGGATGAGTCTGGTCTGGAATCAGGTTTTCCTCAGGACATTTTCTTCCTGCGGGTGCGTCGGTCGACCGTTACTCAGGACTTCCATAGGCCTGGATCCTACAGACAACAGAAAGAGTAACAAGGCACAGGGAGGGAGGAGTAGGTAATTACGGTGGCAGGAAGCAGAGGGAGAGAGACATGTAGACACAGGGGAAGGCACACAAGAGGGCACAGAAGTAGGGAGGACAAAAGGTGACACACACAGAGAAAAACAAGAAAACAATAAAACAGAAACCCAGGGAACTGGATGTGACACAAACTCCAGATGAAATATGACAGTCCTGTTGTCAGCTCCAAGTTTCAGGTATGAACTTTTCAGGTGTTGGTGCTCGGCATCTTCCTGTGAGCCCACCCACTCACATCAGATTAATGTGATTAACCTGTGTATAAATGTGAGTGTGGAAGGTTGTCTCTGTCCTGATGTCACCTGGAAGTACGATCAGAAGATGGACTGACGCCCTTTGTCACCGCGGTGGAATATTCCAGAAAAAATCTACTTGGATGTTTGTTGCCGAATGACAAACGTGACAAGAGTCTTATCAGAATTGAGTTACATGTGACCTTTAGAGATAAACTGTCAGACTGACTGACTGACTCACTTATGTCAAATCTGACATTTAAGCAGTAATGGAGACATTTCTGATATCGGCTTTGGAGAACATTGTCTTGTTCCATTACTGCTGTCACTGTCTGTAGTTCAGCTGCAGTTTCTAGTCTGTGAAACTGCAGGAACTCATTATAGGTTAGATTTTGCCGATATAAATGTAGTTCAGCTGCAGTTTCTAGTCTGTAAAACTGCGGGAAACTCATTATAGGAAAGGATCAGGGATGATCGACATTAACTTTTTGCCAATAAGATATGTCAATATCGTCCAAACACTTAATTTACGATTCCGATATCAACAGATACTGATACAGTGGAGCAGTAGTGATTCCGATATCAACAGATACTGATACAGCGGAGCAGTAGTGGCCTCCTGCTCACTAAGGTGTTGGGTTAGAGCGGTGTTTCTCAGTTATTTTCTGGGGGACAAATGTTTTTTGAACCCTTCCCATATTGAAATACTGTTATATATGTATTTGTTCTTCCCATATTGAAATACTGTTATATATTTATTTGTTTGTGTATCTGTACATACCACTGTTTGAGTTGGTTCAATTCCATCGAGTCCCTGGTCCCTGGTTTCTGCTTCCGTTACACCAAGAGTATCCAGTAAAAAACCCCTGACAAACAGAAAGAAACATTTTATCCAATCAATGTCAAGACCAGTGGAAGACGTTCCATCCAGTGAAGCTGATAGAAGCTAACTGAAGTCCTAAAGGTGACTGTTATTCGATTCACTTCAGTAAATAAAAAAACAAATAAATAAATTACTAGTTTGAAATTGCAATTTTTTCCCTGACATTTCTGACATCTAAGCCTGTCTGTCTCCACTGCTCCATATCCCTATTAAAAGATGTTTCTGCTAAATATACACTAAGGCTCCAGAGTCAAAACAGTGCAAACTTTGGACTGAGTCATGTGGAAGTAAGCCCTTAAATTTAACATTTCTATTCCTCCTCTCCTCTCAGCTTACATCTTTCACCTTTTCTCTCCCCCGTGCTGTACGTCTTTTTGATGTCTGCAGCGTCTGCAGGAACTCCACCTGCAGGAGAACAGCATAGAGCTGTTGGCTGAGCAAGCCCTGTCAGGCCTGTCATCTCTGGCTCTGCTGGACCTCAGCAGAAATCACCTCCGCACCCTGGGAGCATCATCCCTCAAACCGCTTGTCAGCCTGCAGGTGCTTCGTGTCACAGGTAGGCAGAGACAGGAGAGGAATCCTTAAAACGCCATGTCTCCGGCCATTATGACATCATCCTGTAAGGTTGAATTTAATGTGTCCATAGATCAATTTCGGAGGAGCTGACAGTGCCAGGAAAAATACACCGTCAGTGCGTTGAAAATTCATGCAATGCCACTGAAAATTTTAAAACTGTCCACAGCCGAGACATCAGTGTGAATGGAAATGATCTGTACTTACATGTAGTCACTTTTCAAAGGGTTCCAAAGGGGAGACACTGGAGTAGCATGCCGGAATTTGCTGGAAAAAAAAAATTTTAAAAAAATTGTTCACATTGTTTTGCAAATGATCGTGACATTTTACCTGCCATTGTATAATATCACCAGTAGGTGCTCAGACGAAGTTTACAGTTTCATTCAGGACATGGCTCTGTGAAATGTACAGTATAGCTGCTAAGAGTGTTAGCTTAATGTGCTAGCTTACTTTTTCTTGTGGATAAAAGTTTTGACAAAGTTACAGGATTAGCTAAAACAATAATCTGGTGATAAAAGATCTACAGATTAAGGCATTAAAAAACCTGCATTCATGGCACCACCTACCTGCTGAGGACTTAGATGTTGTCTGATTCCCTGACTGGTTTTTCCGACAGAGAACCCCTGGCGTTGCGACTGTGCCCTTGGCTGGCTCAAAACCTGGATTAGTGAAGACGGTCAGCGGCTCCTGAGCTCTGCCGAACAGCGTCAGCTCATGTGTTCTGAACCACCGCGCCTCTCTCACCTCAGCCTGGTGGAGGTGGCCCCCAACAGTCTGGTCTGCATCCCGCCTGTGGTTCAACTGGAGCCGAGCCATCTCACTGTGCGACTTGGGGAGAGTGTCCGAGTCTCCTGCCAGGCGTCGGGTTACCCTCAACCTCTGGTGACCTGGAAGAAGTCCTCCCACGGAAAACCCCAAATGTCCCCACGACGTTTGGTTCAGGAGCCGGGGCCCAATGGTGAGCTTTACAGGCCTGGGGTTGGTGGAGTGGTGACAGCTCTGCCCAGCAGCGGGGGTATCACTTTGGGAGGGGCTGGTGGTTTCCACGGGTTGGTGCGAGGAACCGAAGAAGGAGGCGAAAGGGACAGTTTTGATCCGGACACAGGAAGCGGAATGTTGTTTCTCAGCAACGTGACCGTAGCTCACGCTGGACGCTATGACTGCGAGGCCTGGAATCCAGGAGGAGTCGCCAGAGTAACTTTCCACCTGGCTGTCAACATGTCCTCTTCTTCATACGCATCACAGTCCTGGCCTCGTTTCAACACCCACCCCTTTGTCTCCTCCTCCTCCAACTCCCTCTATCAGCAGGACATCGTAGACATGAGCCAGGAGTCTTTGTACGAGCAGGACAGCATGGACTTCAGCGCTCTGGGTCCTGCCACGCAAACGGCCATCGCCATCGGAATCTCCTTGTTGGCGCTCACTGCTATTCTGCTGGTGATCATGATCTACAGTCGCCATCAGCAGTACCAAGAAGAGGAGGCGGGTTCCTACTGCACCAGCAAGGAGGAGAGCATCCTGTACGTGAACGACTACTCCGACGGACCCACCACCTTCTCTCAGCTGGAGGAATACCGCGATGACCAAGGCCACGAGATGTACGTCCTCAACCCGACGAGGCCTGTGCCTGGCTCCACTTCAGCCCGGTGTACCATAATGGGTGGGTTTGTCCAGCAGGGGGGTCTGAAGGAGGCTCTCCTGGAGCATGAAATGGTGCAGACACTGACCAGATCAGGAGGACTGGGGATTCGCAGAAACCCAGCAGATGGAGGAGAGGGTCCTCTGACCTCTGATCCGGAAGAGCTCCTCCTCAGTCAGAGTCTCCTGTTTGGATCACAGGTTGCTTATGAGATTCACTGTTAAGGTTTTTGTTCTGGCATAAAACAATATGCTGACGGACTTCATTCAAAGACTTAATTAAAAGGAAATCAACTTGATCAGAAAAATGTGCAGACTCAGATTTAAAACAGAGGATAAGAGGGGAGGGGGGGGGGACACATCCTGGTCTGGTTGATCCCCAAACACTGAATAGTGTCAGCATCATGAAAAGCAGTAAAAAAAAACAAAACATTTAAATTAATTAAAAAGTAATGAATCTCAAAAAACACTTTTTCAGTTTTTTTAACTAAAGTAGACCTAAAAAGAAAACATCTGTAACTGTCTGTAACTAGAATTACCACAGAGGTGATTTTGACTGCAAATACAGTATTCAGACATTTCTTCAATAACCAGCAAACACCCATGGAAAAACACTTTTTCATTATATAATACAGTAATAAAATTTAATGCATTGAAGTGAAGGCCTAATGGCATTGAAGTACCAGTATTACAGCTCATTAATTAAAGGATTTTTTTTCTGCAGAGGTATATTTTTTGTGTGTAATATCATTGATGGACTAAATTCAATTAAAGAAAACAATTTAGTTAAAATTCTAAACATACTTGGAGAAAGTCAAGGTCATATTTTTTTTCTTACAGTCAAAATGGCCGTCTTGGTAATTCCAGTGTTGGCTAAATATAATGGAAGAATAATTTCTTTCTTAAAAAAAAAAAGAGGCTAAAACTGTGCAGTATTTTCTGTGAAGACAAGTAAAACTTTCACAAAAAAAAAACAAACAATTTATATTTTGTACTGTTTGTCTTCAGGCCCTGTGTGCGTGTGTGTGCGTGCGTGCGTGTGTGTAGTGTTCGTGTTGCTGTGTAAATAGGACAACTCTAATTTCCACTGTGCCGTGCAGTCATTGCTTTTCTGTGTAACGCTGTTGCAAATTAGAGCTAGACTTCTCACAATCTTCTTCGTGGAACGCCTTCATCATTCGCGCAGAAGCATCGGCCGAACTCTTTGTTTGGAGACGTTCGCTTTGTCTAGGTGGGAACTTTTCTACCACAGTGTTGTGCTCTTTCATCTGAATGGGACTTGTTTTTTCAAGTGTCTTTTTTGCATCGTTCTATTGTCTCAACGCAACTCCAAGCGCGTCACTTTGTAGCGGCCGTTCTAATACTGTAAATACGGCAAAAAGATTTGGATCTTCGGATTCTCTTCGTAATAAAATGTCATTTCCAATAGATTCAGCATTTTGATTCTTTGAAGGTCATGGGTTGCTTCCACAGAGCCCGTCCGTGCCGCTAAATCAATCTGAGCTGTAGAAGCTCTTTCTTTTTACCCCCCCCCCCATCTCCTTTTTCTTCAACTCATGTGATCCTGCAGCTCTCAGTCACTGTGTAGAAGTCCGTCTTAGAGAGGGTCATGGTCCATAAACTCTTTATTTCCACACTCTGATGATGCTCCTGCTGCAGCGGCGGCTGAGAACTGTAGTATCAGGTGAGCTTTCAGGCGACACACTGCCTGAGATGAGAGAGAGCGTTATTGGGAATCTGTCTTAAGACGCCATAAAAATCTATACCTCACATCAAGACCAGGAGCAGATATCGATTCTCATTCAAAATCATACTAATGTTGTGTTCAAGTGCTCGTTCTCAGCTGTCAGAGGTTACAGCTGTGTTAAATGTGCTTTCTGTGCAATCACAGAGGTGCAGAGAATTACATGGCTGCAGGTCACCTCGTGTTTGATTCAAACGCACATGAAGAATCACGTGACCTCATAATCGCATCACTCGTGTGCGCGAGGCCGTTCTGGAGGTGTGAACAGAAGGAAAATGAATTCAGAAAGGCCACACAAGTGTAAATCAGGAAAAATGTCCTTCAAGATCCACTGTGAAACATTCGACGGGGGTTTTCATTAGAGACATTTTCAAAGACGGAGCTCTGGCAGGATTATTATTTTGTCTACAATTGACTTCTCAGAAGTAGCTTTTTATATAGTATATATTTTCAAGTCAAGAAATAATAATACAAAATCCATGTATTTTTCAGCTAGTGCTCCACTACTTCTACACCAACCTTTTTTTAGCTCTTTGCTATTTTCGTTTTTGGACAAAAAGTCTACAAAGAAAACGGTGCTAATCAGTGATCAAGTTTCCAGAGTCAAGCTAACAATCTTAATCTAATTCCTGATCTAATTCTCAACCTAAAATGACCTTGTTAGTCAGTGTGAGGTTTCCCAAAAGAAAATTTCCAAAAAAATGTCCTATTAGTATTAGTATATACCAGTATTAGATATACCCAAACACACACACACACACACACACCCAGCTGGTGTAAACAGTGACTATGATAACGGCAGTTATGTGTGAAACATTTTTCCATGTTCTCCTCCTCCGTGCCGTACTTGTTCATTTATTACCGTCTCATTGTTAGACTTCAATAATTCTCACACACTGGACAATTGAGTGGGAAGATCCTGAAGTGAAGACTTTTTACACTAAAATGTGGAACCACGGCTTTGAATCAATAGGCGTGTGACAGCGGCGCTAAATCAGAACAAACTGTCCGGTGAAGTCGTTTGTTTCCATTGGTTTAATAATAAAACATAAGTACACTGCATAATAGCACTCAGGGTATTACTGCTGCACATTATGTCATTTAGAAAAACGAGCGTCTTTGCGGTAATTTACTCTATTTATCGTCGAGACTGCCTTAAACGCGGGAAAGAATGTTTTGACTGACAGTAATGAAGACAAAACGCAGCCATTTGTGAAACGGTGACACGGAGATGAAGAGCATTTCTCAAATATTCAATTATCTGATTAACATGGTGCGATTCTAATGGTCCGGTTGTGGCACTGTCACAAAAATATAAAGGCATGCGATCGTGCAAGTTGCCCAAAAGTAACAGCAATGGCTAAAGGTTAGCTTCACAACGAGTCAGCGTTTATCCAGAAACAACTGCAACACAACACAAACAGAACAGACACTAACAGGAAATGCATAAAAATAGTTCAAGGGGCAAACAACCTAACAAACGTTAAGAAAAAATAGGAATATTTAAAAATATTCAAAATGACAGCACCACACAGTGTTCAGTGGTGTGTCATTAACCTGAGCTGCGGCTACAAGACAACAACGGTTGTCATAGAGACAAAGGGCCTGTGGTGAGCCAGGCCTCAGACTCCACACTCCCGCCTGTGACAGAACTGTTTACTGTAAACCCCTCTTCTGATCACTACCAACAATTTACAAACGTCTCCACCAGGTTACCTGCAGGGGGCGAACTGTTGATGAGACACCCACATAATTGACTTAACGGGCAGAGAATTATGCTGAAACACGTGCAGTAGATATAAAACAGACTGGACTTTAATGGAGCTTCTCCAAAAACGCACAACTAAGAGTTAATATTTAATATTCAGGAGAGAACGCTTCAGAGCCGCATTCTTTATTTTTTTATTTTATAAAAATGTACTTTAGCTGCTCCTGGGTGAAATTACTCACCGGAGTTTTTCGGTATTAAAAGCATTCAGGGACAGTCAAGGACACTTGTCAACATCACCGTAATTTGACTGCTTTTCATCCTGACAGAAAAAGGTGAGAGATAATACAATGTGAAGTTGGTGGAATCTTTAAGGACAGGTGGGAGGAGGGAGGAGGGAGGAGGTGGGAGGAGAGGGGGAGAAAGATAACGAAAGAGAGAGAGATAAAAAAGAGAGAGAAAGAGAGAGATAATGAAATAAAGCTTGAGGCAGAGCTAGGGAGAGAGAGAGACAGATTAAAACGTGAGAGAGAAAGGGATAGAAACAATAATAAAGAGATAAAGACAGATAGAGAGACTGCTTGAAAGAAGAGAGAGAGAGAGAGAGACAGACAGACAGACAGTGAGCTCCTGTCTTTCATACTAATGCTGTTCTTTACTCGTCTTCCTCTTCTCCACAATCTGCTGTCATCTCTTTAAAGCAGGCTCAGAACATGGGAATGAATGTTGATATGAGGTCAAATATATAAATATTAAAGCCCCGAGACTGAAATACAAATACATTTCCACCCAGACATCAGTGGGAGTTTGTGTCGGAAACATATAATCATCAGGATGTAACGCTAAAGTCGACGGATTACAACAGCAGAGTCAAGTTCAGAGGGAGATTTTCAGACTAATTCACTGTAAATAACACTGTTGTCTACAGTGTATTCATGCATTAGACACTGGAGACATCCATTCACACAGTACATCAGCCTATTTGAAAACACTCTCTGATTTAGACTTTGTTCTTCCATTATGTATCACATCACATTATGGCTAAAAGCTTAGTTTTGAAAAAAGAAAATGTTGAAACCCAGATAAATGATCTTCCATATCTGTAAAAATCTGCAGCCAGAGCAAAAGCCAGAGTCTCATCCTGTGCTTTTCTGAGTGGTTCAATGTCCAGTCAGCAAAGATAAAATGGTATTTACAATGTTAGTAAAATAAAAGGACAAAATTTGCCCTACCCAACATAAAGATACAACAAGTGCATACACTGTAGGAATGGGAAAATATTAAAACTAAATAATCAAAATTTAGCCCAGAACAACAAGCCAACGCTTTTGACAACACCCAGTGTACGTTAGCCACAAATAGCTAAGACACTCATATAAATCAACAAATCACTTTTAGTTATCCTCAGAGCATCAGTTTAAAAGACTGGTGTCAAACATACAGCTCATGGACCAAAACCAACC